TTTATTTATTTATTTATTTATTTATTTTGTAGCTTTTACATAGTAGCCCATTCTCTAGCACTCTGGGTAGTGCATGATAAGGAAAAACAGAAAAAGGAATAAGACAACATGATATAAAATAATGTTTAACATAATAACCAATGGTCACCCAACAATCATACCATGGGCCAGAGGCCCACTGGAAAAAAAAGAGACTTCATTTCTCCTAAATGAAAGAAGAGTTGGAGTAGCCAAACTTCTGGGGGTAATGTACTTCAGAATATAGGGTCTATAACTGAAAATACCTATCTTATCCCTTTTCTATATATCCATCAGGGGAATGGGATTCTCAACAAATCCTCTTTTGATGATAGGACTGGATAGGGAGAATCATGTTTGGTAAGGCAGTCCCTGATATGTTCCACTGTTACACCATATAGGTCTCTGTTGGTAATGAGCAGCACTTTGACTTGGTTAAGAAGTACAACCAGTGCAGTGCCCTGAAAATAAGTCTAATCTTGCAATAATAGGCTTATTTGGTAAACAGCATGACTGCCACATTCTGAACCAGTTATAGTTTTCAAGGCAGACCAATGTGGAGTGTACTGTAATCGTACAGTTGTGTGGTGATCAGAATGTGAGTCCCTGTTGTCAGAGTATCCTAATCCAGATAGATCTGTAACTGATACGCCAGCCTGAGCCAGGCAAATGCATCCCTGGCCATGGCTTCCACCAGCAGGAACCATGGTTCTAGGAGGACCCTCAGGTCACCAACCAGCTCCTTGGGGAAAGCATGACCCATGAAAAGCCGGCACTAGGGCTGATATTCCTGGGTGTTTACTGACAAACAACAACTCTGAGTAGAATTTAAACAGAACTTGTTTCTCATCATTCAGACCCTTACAATCTCCCAACACTGATTCAGGCCTTCTACGGCATCTCTAACTCAGCTTAGGTTGGTGATACAGAGCAGTATCACTTCATCCTAAACCAGTGAATAACTTCTTCCAGTAGTTTCATATAGATGTTAAATAACACAGGGGATAGGACAAAGCCTATCCCATTATATAAAGGAAGATGAAAATACAAAAACATTCAGGGCTTTGATTTTACCCAATGTGTATGCAGTAATATATTATGAACAAAAGGAGGCATACGGAGGCCGCCCATCAATAGTCACATATTAGCAAGTTGCATGTAAGTAAAAACAAGAAAATCCCTACAAGAATCTACAGGGAAATATAACATAAGCTACCTATACAGTGTAATTGTGTAGTAACTAAATACCATGTATTCTCTCTTCTTCATAAGATTGTACCATAGTAGTATTAATTTAAAGGAAGTGCTTGGCCATTAAAGAGTATTGTAAGTACCATTGAAATAAACATGGAACATAAATCCTGGAATACAGGTTTGACAGAATTCCTGAAAATAAAAACTCACATTTGATAACCCTCTCACCCACTTCTCAGTTTAAAACAAAAGTGCTGAGGATCCAAAAAATTCAGACATCAAAAATATCCTGCAGATTATCATTTTCACTGAGATGAACATTAATTGCTGGTTTCTATTGGAAATGTGGATCCTCCTTCAGCCAAAGATACAGCTAATGAATTTCCAATGTAGTTTAAGAAAAACAGATATGTCCATTGTTACTTGTTCCAAGGGATGGGTGCATTTCCTAATCCTCCTACAGTAACACAACCAAACTCTGTAATTATATGGAGATTTATTTTTGTTACTTAGATTAATAGTCTGTTGTCTTCCACAGAAAACAAGCATTGTAATGAGTAAAAATAGCATGCCTTAAGGCTCTAGTTCATCTGCATTACAGCATATTTTGTTTTATAACTTTAATACTAGGGGCCAGAGTTAGCATGGAGATGGCACTGATAACATTAATCCTATTTAATCTTTCAGAGCTTTTCCTGTTATCCCTGAATGCATCTTTCAGGATGTGTGTCAGGAAGAGGTCACATGTGTTTATATAGTTTTGCTTCCAAAAAGTGATTAAATTCTGAGGCCTCTTTTGGAGTCTTTTATTGCTGAACAGTGAAGGCCAAGATCTGTATGACATAGTAACTTTCATACATTTGTTTTGTTTGATTATTAAGTTACTTCCCTTGCATTTGTTCTCCTTTTTTTATTTGCAGCTGATATCACACAGCCATACTGGCATTCTCCTGCTTGTGCTATTTCAAAGCCTCTGTTCCAGAGTTTGAGACCATTGTTATTTCCCATTTGGAACTTAGGTTTTGTGAGCATTAGAGGCTCATACCATGTACAAGGGATACTAACGACACATAGTTCATGATTTCAACATCTAACAACCAATCTACATCTGAAAAGGCTCATGTGTGTCTTTTGTGGTTATCCAAGGTATCTAAGCTTCTGATACATATGGAACTGAAGCACTTTGCTTGAAGTGCTGAACTTATCTCTTCACAGAAATGTGTCTTCTGCAAGAAGCGGCGGAAGAGAATTGCTGGCTGTTGCGTGCAGTGCTCTCATGGCCGCTGTCCTACATCTTTCCATGTCAGCTGTGCTCAGGCAGCTGGAGTCATGATGCAGCCAGATGACTGGCCATTTGTGGTCTTTATTACTTGCTTTAGGCATAAAATTCCATCTCAAGCAGAGGTATGTAATAGGAACTTAATATTCAGTTCAGACTAACTTAACATTTGTATTTGACCCATTACTTCTGAACATCTTAATCAGCTGGGAAAGGCAGTAGTAAAAGTGTTCAGGAATTCAAAACATACTATATTATGGAAATGCTTGCTTTGTACCTTAGACTCATGTTCTAAGGTGATTATCTGCTCAAAGATGCTGCTACTTTTGTTTTTGTTGTTATTTACTATTGAATTTATACTTTCTATTTATATCTTCACTAAAAGTTGATGTTATAAAGTTTTTATAGCAATAAAAAATACAGAGTAAAAAAATAACCATAAAAATCCAAAATTAAAAAGCTTTGCAAAAGACACGCAGAAATAATCGTTCCATACTTTCCAGAAAATGCATAGGAAGCACTTGTCTTTTTGTGCAACTTTCTACAACCTTCTAAGTATTGTGAGTGGTTAAACCATAGAGTTTATCTTCTGAATATAATATTGACTATAGCTCCTTTGTTTCTTCAGCGAGCTAAGGCTGCTCTACAGGATCTTGCTGTGGGACAGGCTGTGATAAGCAAGCACAAGAACGGACGTTTCTATCAATGTGAAGTGGTCAATCTGACAAAGGAAACTTTTTATGAGGTCAACTTTGATGACGGCTCCTTCAGTGATAACCTATATCCAGAAGATATTGTGGTATGCTTTGTAGTAAAAAATCTATTGCACCAGAAGATGTACAGTTCTAGGAAATATAAAGCGTCAGATTGCTGAAGTGGGTCAAATCTCTAAAGCATCTGGACAACACTTTTGAACTGCAGAATGCAAAGCTAAATGCAAAGCAAAACAGCATAGATTATTTGACTCTTGAATTAGAAATCTCTCCCCTTTTCCCTCCCTTCTGTTCAGTATCTTTTAGCATCTTCCATTAGAGAAAAAATAATTCCAGATGAAGATTCTGTTGTGTTGTCAAATCTTTGTGTTAGTTCATATGTAGATATCTATATAATAAATTAGTAATTCTAGAACAAGGATAGTTTTGAGTGTCTTGTAGTTTGTTCATGGCAGGAATATTCTGATTATAAGATTAAGTTCATTGCAATTATCTACTGGTGCTAACAGAATTCCACTTAGTGAAAATTGGATACTTTCCTTCTCTCCTCATCTATCATCATGTACCAGCTCAGTCGGCAAGCTTCTCCAGGGTCCATTATTTTAGGCAATGCTGCTTCTGTCTGCCAGTCAGTAGATGTTGCTTATATTTCTCAAATTTTCCTCAACATGGACAGAGTCGAGACTGCCTCCAGCTTGGTCCTCCCCCTCCAGGAGAAGTTGTTCAAGTGAGATGGACAGATGGTCAGGTCTATGGAGCTACATTTGTGGCCTCTCATGTCATCCAGATGTACCAGGTGAGGGAAGGAAATGGGTTTGATTCTCTTATTTCCTCTCTTCTTAACTCTTTGTTTTTGTGGATTGCTAACTTGGGAGTTCTGAAATCCCTGAAGTTTGTATTGTGGCCTGTCATGGGCAAGATAAAAAGGTGTAATTAGTTGCTCCAAAAGATACATTGATTGATACATTAACATTTGTGTAAAGACTTGTTATTTCTCATGCATTATAGTTTTGGCTATCTGAACTAGTTTCTAGATACTCTCCTGTACTAGCAAGTGTTCTGCTATCTCCTCCATGATGTAGAGTGCATGAAATTCCATGCCAGTTTGCTGGAGTCCTCCTCCACAAAAACATTCTGTACTGAATTGCATGATATGGAAGTAGCTATTGATGTTTGTGTTCATCTGACATCCACCTGATTGTTCTGATTCTAGGTGGAGTTTGAAGATGGATCCCAGCTTATGGCAAAAAGGGATGATGTGTATACACTTAATGAAGAACTTCCTAAAAGAGTCAAATCAAGGCTGGTAAGTCAGAGAGCCAAAGTTATTGATTCATGTAGTTCTTCTCACAGAGGAGAACATCAGTTCCAACATAAGGAACTGACCTTTGGGTAATGGACATCTCTTCTGTCACTGGGACAGTTCCAGATGCTTCAAGGGAATAATAAAATTATTAAACTAAAGGTTCTAAAAGTCATTTCAAAGGAAAGGAAACAATAGATTTTCAGAATACTGTTTGTTGCACCCATTATTGAACTCTGCAACTTTGTAGATTAATGGTGAATGCCCACATGTGGGCTTCAAAACTTGAGGTGGATCTAAGTGCATACTTAGATCCTCTAAAGCAGATCAACTGCATATGTAGATTCCTAGAATCTACCCTCTGTGTTCTTTTCCAGCAAAATATCATCATTTTATTGTGCGTGAGGAAAATTGTGAAGAATCATCATTCACTTATAACTAACTCATAGTCCAGTTTTCATCATTGTCCTTATAATATTTCTATGTCTTTACTCGATTTGCAGTCTGTTGCCTCTGACATGCGCTTCACAGAGATCTTCACAGAGAAAGAAGTCAAACAAGAGAGAAAAAGACAGAGGGTGATCAACTCTCGCTACCGTGAGGATTATATCGAGCCTGCACTGTACCGGGCCATTATGGAGTAGCAGCTTGCAGGAGGATTGCAGTGACCACCCCAAAATGGATCCTAGCACTCCAGCACAGCAGAGGCCAAACAGACAGTCTTCATATCCCACTTTTTTTAAAAAAAGAAATGAAATAAGCTTATCTGACTCTGTAGCACCTTGGAGGTATCGATTTGGCTTTACTGGCAAACTCCAAGGCTATCATTTGGGAGCACTTCTCTGAGTTCCTGAAGCATTTGGTTCATACCAGCTCGATGGCTTCGCCTTTAGCTGTGAGTTTCTTCATTCAGTACAAACTGTTCTTTGCCAGAAGGATATCTTTCCGATGCCATCCAAGGAGCAGCCCAGACAGTTGCAGTGCTAAAAACGACCTTCCCCCACTTCTGAATAAAATGTCTATTTCTGGGGGAATTTCTGAGCTCACCCTGCCTGCACAAAGCTGGCGATGTTACTGGTGCTTGACAATGAATTCCTTTTTATATTTATAACCCTGTTTTTTGTCATGAGCACGCTTCTTTTTTTTAAGCATCACCTCTCTGAGAACAGAGCTAAGTGAGCGGAAGAATGGAGAGTGAAACTAATTAGCTCTCTTTATTCCCAACTTCTTGAACCTTTGATTAAGCTTTTGTCCGTTTTATATTCAGAGACTTATTTACTCATATGTTTAATTGTTATAGTTTGTGCCTATGTAATAGGAAAAGGTTTTGAGCCATTCAGCGCTGCGCATTCCTCAGGCAAGAGAATCCTGGGAAATATCCTCGATTAAGGCAATAAGGACTACAAGGATTCCCATTCCCTGTTTGGCTTGGAATGGCCACAAACTGGGCCCAGGTTTGCAACAAGATTGCCTGGGAAAATTAGCATTCCTTCATCTCACTGGCAATGACCCCAAATTATGGGGTATTTGAATCCAATTAGAATATTCATTAAATGATGTCAGGGGTCAGCATTATTGGTATTTCCGTTTGGAAGCTTTGCACTGTTTTTGCCCAAACCTATTCAGGTAAGACTAGTAGAAGGGCACGTGTATATTTAGTTTTATTTTTGTGGGACAGGGAAGGAAGTTCAAAGGTACATTTTCAAGAGGTGTCTCTTTTCTTGCTGTGCAGTCATTGGGGACAATTTTCACTCAGATATATTGCAAGAAAAAGTACAAAGCTACTTCTCCGGTTATAAACATGCCCTTGTAGTCTATGGCTGTAGTACCCAAAACGTGGCCATATCATCTAATCTTGGAAGATAAATTTTTACTGGATGCTCCAGGGAAGACTGTAGTATTCTTTCCCTTTATTTAACTAATTATATTGCTGCACGAGGTTCACACAACAGATTATGTCAACAATTAATAGATGCAAAATTTGACCAATTACTCTTCAGCGTGCAGATGAACAAAATTTGAAAGCCTTTTCTGACTCTCTCTTCCTTTATTAATTAGGATCCTGAGTGCATTTGGAGGAAACCTAGAAGAAGTGGAGAGATGCAAATTTCAGTATACAGTGTTGATCTCCTCTCTGTATTACTTTAGAATTTAAATCTGTATTACTGTAGAGATTGGCTCTTCATAAGCACAATATATACATAAGGGATCTACTTTTGAAATATCTGCAATTGGACACTGCCTCTCAACTTGGAAGTAAGAATGGTAATTACATGTGAGAATATCTTATTGCTCTCAGTTGCTGCTTTTTAAAGAGTGACATGTCTCCAGTCTCCTTTTGGGTCTTGAATAGACTTCTGTTCTCTCCCTAGTATTTATTTAAGTGGTTTGTGCCATCTAACAGGGTGGGCAGCCTTTCTTTTTGGCCCTTGGGTATTAGGCAAAAGCCATCCTGGGTAATACATTCTCTCTGTCAGTATTATTCTGATGCCCAGGAATGTTTTTATTATAAAGCAGAGACCCTCCTCTCTTTTCTTGTCTTTTAGCCAGGGGGCTACTGCCTTTCTATATCAATATTAAAACTGAATCATGATGCTAAAGATTAGTTCAACAGGCATAGGGACTTTTTCTTAGATTTTTTTCTTCCCCAAAATGCTTTCAGATTGAAAATGAAATTTAGATGGCACGTATCACTAGATTAAAAAATATTATTGAACTATAGGTTGACCTGTGGTTCAAAACCTTCCTGAATTTTTAAAAATAATTCACATCAGTGGTCAAGTACATCTGTGCATATCTACAAATTGGTTTCATGTTGTAGAATGTAGAAGAACATGATTTTACAGGATTGCGTGCTAACAATGTCCACACAATGTCTGTTTATAAAAAGCAGTTGAGCGGGCAATAAGAAGTCCAAGAGCCCTTTTAAGCATTATGTCCTATTGTTGTTTACTTCTTACAAATGTATCTGTTGCTTTCATCCAAACTGCAATTATTTTATCTTAAGTCAATGTAATAATATTGTTGATTAATTTTATAAGTTTGATACAATAATTGGGATAAACTTCTTCCTATTGATGGTTTAACAAGCCTTTGAAAATATAAACCCCATTTTCTTAGTTTGTCCCCAACATTTAACACATGTACACACCTCTGTATAAGGTTGCACCGGGCTTAGTATGCACAGAAAAGAACAGGATGAAATATGTGATCTAAACATGATCTGTCATGACTCCTTGAAGACGGACTCCAATAATTTCTGACCTATTTGAAGTTGTACTGGTTTTGGGATGCCAGTGTGAGATGGATACAAGATAGGCAGCTTTATGTATTGTTTTCCTGATCTAGTAATATAATTTTGGACTAGACTCAACTGATTAAATCTCAAACACTTTAACACTGAAAGCCTGTGTGTCTTCGATTATACTGCTGGACTTCTCATATCTCTCCTAGGTTCTTTCTTCTTCAACAAAATATCCTGGTTACATGGTATCTATTCAGTCTCAGTAACTGGTAGATGACCAGCTACCTACCCCAAGCCAGGAATTATTCTAGCTTTTCTTCAGTTATTAAATTATTTTAGCTTTTATATAGTTAAAATAAAAACAATACCATAAGCATTCATACATGTGGAAGTTCATTTGTTTTAGGCCCGCAGCTCCTGATCAAGAAGTAAAAATGGAAAGTGGGACCCTAAGTAAAAAAAGGGTGTGGGGAATGAAGAGGATAAGCAAAATGAGAGAAAAAAACCTCTCCTTGTGGAATGTAATATGGCAAAATAAGTTAGTAGCAAATACAAAATGCAACAATTCAGAGGTCTATACTTTTTGAAATATCTAATTTGTTGTTTGTAGATTACTATTTTATTTTTATTACTATTATATTTTATCCCACCTTTTTTATATACATAGGTAGTCCTTCCGGACCACAATAGGGACCAGAAAATTGGTTGTTAAGTGGGGCAGTCATTAAGTGAGTCACCATGTGCCTGACCTTATTTTATGACCGTTTTTACAACATTAAGCAAATCACCGTAGTCAAGTGAATTACATGGTGGTCAAGCGAATTACATGGTTGTTAAGTGAATCCAGCATCCCCAATAGATGTTTTTTGCCAGAATTTCTTAATGACCATGTGATTTGCTTAACGACCACAGTGATTCACTTAACAACAAGCCAACTTTCATGCCTAAGGGAGAACTAGAACTCAGTCTCCTGGTATCTAGGCCAGCACCTTAACCACTACACCAAACTGGCTCTCAGATCCAGCATGATTTATCTATACTGAGTAGTTAGCACAGATTAAAGTACATAGAAATTGTTTAAACAAAATTATAGTCATTGGATGCTAGATTGCATTATAATATATTTATGATTTCCCACCATGTATTTAAATCCAGAAAATTTCTGACAACACAACATATGATGTTGTAGTAAAGTGAGGCATTTTTTGTCTCTCAGATATCCTTGGCATAACATCTGAGAACAGATAGCTGTTGTGACCACCTTATCTCATAATGTGAACAATTTCAGCTTTGATTAAGGCTGAAATCTTACATTCCCTTAGGGAGAGTTAATTGCATCGAAATTAGTGAAACTTCCTCCTGAGTTCCATGTGTAAAATTGCATAGAAAGCTTTTACAATGGCAAATGTTCCTTAGCTTTAAGTAATTATTAAACTCATCAAAGGATTTCTTGAGAATGCTGAATCACCAATCTTGGATTTTTTTTTTTCCTGAGAGCACTTAAGGACAAAAATAAGGAATTATGGTCCCTTATCTGCCAATCTAAGTGCTGCCTGAGCACCCCCATGTGCTCCAAATCACCTTTCCCCCTTCAAGATTACTGCTCAGTCCTACAAAATATAGTATACATAACATTTTTTAAAATTTAGGAGATTAAGAAGTGTTTAGGGGAGAAGGAAGACACAACATTGCTTCTAACATCTACAACTATATCCTTTCCAGACTCCTATTCAAACTGTGTGTTAGTCACCAGAACAAAATTTCTTCTAAATACTGTTATGCAGTGGTCTAGTCTGCACATTTGTTAAAACTTTCATTTTCTTTTAAATATTTTATTTTGCAACAGGGATTGTGTGGACAGTGACTACACTTTATTAAAGACACTGGAGGGCTGCAAGGCTGGAAGCTTTGAGCTCCTTGCCTGGGAATTAGCTGAGGTCTGTCCTCCCTGTGTGAGGCCCAGGCCAGGCTGGAGGGAGACTAGCACAGTAACGCTCTGTTCTTGGCTTGTACTAGAGGAAAGGGAGGAAAACCAGCAAGAACTGCTGTAGAGATGAAGAGGACTTCTGGGCTGGGCAGGAGATCAGTATGTTCACTGCAGCTGAGGGGAGCTGAACTTTTTGTTTGTTAACTTTTACTAACTGGATCTTGTTTCCAGACACTTGGAGACACAGCAGGAAGTGGAAAATGACTTAGTTTCTTAAAGCCCCAATTCTTTTACCTCTAGGTGTTACATCCTGAAGAATATGGGGTATACAAAACAATACAATACATCCCATTCATCCATACAGCACTGTTAGATTTGCAAAGTATTTTATGTATTTATAAAGACGTCTATAGTGAGCCAAGCTATCTTTCTCAGTTCTCAAATGGGATGTGGTTTAACCTGTTTTAGTCAAGCTTGACAGCAGAGGAAGAAGAAATTCTCAGAAAATAAGAGCGCAACTGTAGCAGAACTGAGCTCGGAATGTTAGTCATTCATCATTTTCATTATAGAAAGCCAACAAATCAGGTGTCTCCAAATGCAGTGGAACTCTAATCTGCAAAATTCCCAACATACCTGGAGTGTAGCAGGCTGGGGAAGATTTGTCCTATGTTAGGAATTGTGGCCTGCTGCTGAGTTTCAGTATATCTTGTATGTTTTTTGTTTTGTTTTGTTTTGTTGTTTTGTTTTGAACAGGGAGAAAAATCTCTGGGTTATATGAAGTCTTTGCATGTTTTTTTTCTCAGTTAAATCCTATATGTTTCTGTTCTCTTGTTTATGTAACTAAACGAGATTTTCTCCTTGCTTGGATATAAGCATAAATAATGTTTCCACTCCTTATATTTAGATTCTTCCATTTCAAAATGTTTGTGCCTCTCTCCTCCATTTTAGAGGTAATAGTGTGAATGTAGGACTGACTGATTACCTAATGAGCTTCATGGATATATAAGGATTTGGACCCAAGTCTTCCTAGTTCCATTTGGACAATAACCTAATTTGATCATTGCATTTGATGGGGAGGATTGGGGTTTTAGTTCATCTAAAGGTTGGACTATAACTACTGTATGCTATGTTAGATGGGTTGGCAACTACCCATATTCAGCAGTTTTATAATATTCAGAGTTCTACAGTGCCCTAACATACACCACTTATTTAGCATGGATGGTAAATTTGACTGTTTTCAACCTGAAATGCCCCATTTTAGGCTCAAAACACTTCGGAAACAGCTGTTCTGATTTACCAGAAGAGTTTCCAGTTGGCATCAGAGCCGTTTTAAGCTTAGAATATTTCAAGAATAGTCAGAACAGCATTGTGATGATTTAAAATAATGGTTTCAAAATGTTTCAAGTTACAAACCTTTTACACACACCTCTAGCATTTCATACAGGAGCTCTGTTTTGCTTCCCAGAAAACTAGATGCTTGTTCAAGTCATGTAAGGAATAGAAACTGCTAAGGGAGTACTGTATGTCAAGAGAGCCACTGGCCCTACAACAGCAGGCAATTTAAGAGCATTACTAGTTTCCATTTGCTTTACTATCTGTGCTGTGAGTGTCCTACACTTTGCAGACAGCCTGAGTTACCTGGCCAGTTTCTGCTTTACTAATCTTGTCTCATCTTGATCTGGCTCTGCTAGAGTGCCTGCCTGTAGTGGAGCAGAGGCAGGCAAAAGAGAAGGCAAACAATTGAAAATCTTAGCACACACTTCCTCAATGTAATTGGCCATACTGGCTGGGGCAATGGAAGTTGTAGTCCAGCTGTTCAAGAGTATGCCTTCTGGTAAGTCTCGTTTAAGCCTGTCTAGCTGTTCTTGGAGAAGCACTTGGCAGTTTGAATATTTTCCCTTACCATTCTGGTAAGTACATATGTATTTACAGTACTGTATTTTTATACAATCTGTGCCACCGTCTCTGGTGAATAAAAAAAAGGCCACCTTTGGAATAAAACTTCATAATCAGCATACACAGAGTAAAAACAAAACGACAAAAAACACCCCACTCCCAAACTTAAACAAACATATAGAATAAGAAAGAACATCACCCCAGGCACCATAAAGGTTCAAAAGCCACCTGAATAACATTTTCTTAGCTTTGCAAAACGTCAATACTGAGGGGGCTGGGCACACCTTGGGAGTGGGGGTTAGGGGTTAAGGTGTTCCAGAGCATTAGAGGTCTAACCTATCTTGCTGCCAATGGAATTCATCTATTTCAAGTTCATTTCTAAGAAAAACATCCAAGTTAGGTCTGCCCAAGCCGTGGGCACTAAGAAAATAAGGAAGCTATTGACAAAAGGGCCGGCTTTATTGTCAATAGTTCCCTTATTTCTTGAGGGCCAAGATCTTGAGCAGATCCTCTGCAGATCACCTGCTGTGACACCAAAATTATTTTGGAGAAGACAGATCCTGACAGAGCCCAGAGTTGCACCATAAAGGGCTTTGCAGCTAATAACCAGCAATTCAAATGGGAAGACCTTTTTTTTTTTCCTCCTTCTAATCACTGTGAACTTGCTCAGCTTGGTTGAAATGCCTACTTCCTGGGTCTTTCCCCCCCCCCCCCCCCCCAAAAAAACTCTGGCAATTTGTTAACTGATCAAGCAAGGTCTTGGTTTATTATTTGTGGAAGAGCCTGTACTCATTTCCTTGTAAAGGCCCTAACTTGGATGTTTTTCTCAGAAATGCACTTGATATAGATGAATTCCATTGGCAGCAAGATAGGTAAGAAAATGTATTTGGCCTCTCTGCACACTGATTCATCTTGTCTTCATCTATTCAGTTGAATTTACTTTAACCATCCCCTCTCCTGTCATTTGGGGATTTGTTGAGCAGAATTTGTAGTCTTGCTTCTCTCAGAAAGCAGTCCTAAAAATATCAGACAAAAAGAGCTGCTGGATGAAACAAAAGCCATCTGTAAGTGTGAATACTAGCTATGAGAGCATGATTAGATTTTAAAGCAATATCCTGGCACATATGAGAAGATGCTTGGGAAGAATGCATCCTGTTCCCTGAATTATAGTGTGTGCATTACTCTACTAGATGGTAGTAGAGTAAGCCCATATTCTGCTGCCTGAAGAAAAGGCAAAAATGCCCCTACCCACCACTTAATATATCACAGTAGTGTCTGGAGCTTAATGTGCAACTGTGAGATTACATTTCTGTTGATTGCACAATTTACA